CAGAATCTCTGAAAACCAACAGGCTTTGTGCTTCTGGTTGTCAACAGAAAAGAGGCCGATTCTCTTTTTCAGTCAGAATTGCCTCTTTGGGTGTAAGGCTGAAAGGCACGTTTTGCTCCGTCAGGCTTTTAACGCCGTTTCCTTCTGATTGGTGTTGTAATGTTGTTCCCGTGCTTTGCTACGGCAGTTTTTCTCCTCCGCTTATTTTAAACAGGGCATTGCATTTTGTAAAAATTGTGTCTCGCCCTGCCTCCCCTTGCCTTCCAGGGCTGTGGTGCATACATTTGCCCAGTTAACACACAGTGAGAGAAATCTCTTGTTTACTTATTTCTGTTTGTTTATAAGCCACCTCGATGGCCAAGAAGCAATTGACACACAACACATGAAAACATAATAACAAAGCCAAAGAACTAGGAACCAAACCCTGTTAAGCTATTACGGTGGAGTGTTATCCGTCTGTTCTGTTGGATGACGTTTGGAGGGGTAACGTTAACTGAATAATCACATTTTTTGTAACGGAGCTGGACTAAGCCAAGCCAGATAAGAATGGCAAAGGTTCCTTTCTAGGCTGCGGTTTTTTTCTTCCAAAAGTTAACTGCCTTTCTCATTATTACTATTATTATTGGGGGAAGTTGTCCGCACGGCCCCCAGGAAAGTTGAGGGATGGTGGCGCGCTGTTTGTGCACCAGGGGGCAGCAGCGGACAAGGCACCGTAAGCCATTCCCTCGGCCGGCCGCTGCGTGCCCGCGCTCTCCTCCCCGCCCTCCCCAACAGGGGCACTTCCAAAGCAAGCCCCCTCCACCCCCTGCCTGGAACCAAGAGCTCTAGGCCCGTGTCCTCCCAGCCTGCCCCCCGGCACCCGGTTGCTTGAGCTAGAGAGGTGGATTGGGGAGATGGACCACCATCTGTGGCTCTGTGGGGGCCGAGTGGTTGGTTTTCCTGCGCCCAGAGCAGTGTCCATCCAGCGTTCAGAAAAGTCAAGGTGGCAGGTGTGGCCGGTGCCCCATCTCTCTTTCACATGTGATCCCGTAAAATGGGGAGGGGCTTCGATTGCACGGTTGCATGTTTTTGACGCCCCTGTTTCCCTCCCTGGCAGTTCTTCCTGCCTGTGGGGTTTTCTTCCTTGGTAACAGTGAGAGCAAATTGTGGAATTGTCAAACTTTCCTTTGCCCTCCATGTTCCTCTTTCCTTGGCTTAGAAGCCATGGCTTCAAACCAGCACGGCCGTCCTCCAGCCAGTTCAGGGGACGGTTCGGCTTCTGACGGCCACGTTCTCCTGTCCCTCGCCAGGTCTTCCGGGTCGTCAGCATCTGCCTGGGGAACCCTCCCACCACCTTCTGCTGGGAATATTACGACAAGGAGAAGAATTATCACAAGATCGGGCCGATCACCCCTGTGAAGTTTTACCAGGATCACATCAAGCCAGTCTATGACATGGAGAGCAAGGTGTGGAGATCCCACAACGTAACACAGCCTCTGCGCAGTTGTTGCCCTGGTTCTGGGGTCCTTTTTAGCGATTTGAACGCATTCCCCACCCAAATGCCTTTTCTCAGGGCCAAACCAGCTCAGCTGGGTCCCCTCTTCTCCTGGCATCACCCCCAGCGTATTCTTCTGCATTTCTCCCTTGCGGAAAGTAGAATTCCCTTTTGATTGGAAGGGTGAGTTGATTGAAATTCTCCTTCCCCCTGGCATCGGAAAGGCCCCCAAGAGATTTGGCCCCGTAGTCTGTTCACTTACTTCATGGTTTCTTGTAACCCACCCTAATCCACAGACTTTGGGCAGCATCAAAACTGCCCGGTGAATAAAACACATCCTCCGTTGTGGCTACCATAAAAATCCAGTTCTGCATAAAGCTATGGTGGAGTGTTTCCTGGAGCATCACGTCTTAGTCCAGCGAGCCCTTCCTTGAAACTTAGACAGTCATCCCAAGCGCCTGTGTTACTCGCTGGGGATTTCCACCACCTTTGGTGGAATTCAGACCCTGCACAGCGCAGAACAGTTGCTGGAGAGAGCACCCCTGGATGGCTTTTACAGCACTCTCCTTTCGGATGGCAATCATTCCCCCCCACTGCAATGTTAATTTCTCTACTCCCCTCCAGCCCTGGGAAAGCGCAGTGTTGTCCTCACGCCTCTTATGACTCTCGGTGGCTTGCCTAGAAAAAAGTACAACTTCAACCACCCTGCTCCTGAGTCTGGCTTGTGGGGCAGCTCTGCAGAGCAAGGGGGTTGCCGCTTCCCTGACCTGGCTGGCCTTTAAGCCCCTCTCCCCTCTGGCTTACAGGTGTGCCTGGTGAATGATCCTCGTCCCCGAAACAAATACGGCCAGCTCTACACGGTGGAGTATCTGGGCAACATGGTTGGCGGGAGGAGGACGCTTTACAACAACCAGCCGGTCGAGCTCCTGAAAAAGATGGTGGCAGCGTCCATTCAGGATGGAGAGGTTAGCCCCTTGGCCCCCCCGGCTGCCCCCGACTCTCCCCTGCATTTTCTTCCTTGTCCTGACTGTTGGCTGCTCTTTCTCCCCCCTCCAGGCTGTGTGGTTTGGCTGTGATGTTGGAAAATGTTTTAACAGCAAACTGGGCATCAATGATTTGAAGATGTAAGTCTTGGTGCAGGTTGGACCATGTGGGGGGCCTGCTGGTGTGGAACATTCCAAGCACGAGCCCTGGTTTTGCTCTCTTTGCGGGTTCTTGTCTGCATGCAGAGGCCACAATACCCTGAGTTTATCAGGAAATACGCTTGGTATAAAGAGGAGGACGAAGCAGGCCTCCGTGTCCAGGTGTTTGGGGTGACTTCTCCCTTCAGTCCTGACCAGTAAGAAGTCCAAACTGGAGGGTACCAGCCCCAGTGCTCCCATACAGAACATTTTTGGCTGTTTGCAGATACAATCACGAGCTGATGTTTGGTGTGTCAATCAAGAATCTGAAGAAAGATGAGCGGCTCATTTTTGGGGACTCTATGATGACGCATGCCATGGTCATTACTGCGTTCACGAAGAAAGTAAGTCCCTTGGGAAAAATGCTTTCCTTGCCTTAAAGTTATCCATCCTAGAGGTTTGCAAGGTCTGACTGATTGATCATGTGTCATCAAGTTGGTATCAACTCTTAGCAACCACATAGATAGACCTTCTCCATGACAGTCTGTCCCTAACCTGGTCCTTCAGGTCTTCTAACAGAGCCCCCATTGCCTCCCTGTAACTGAGTCCATCCCTCTTGCTGCTGGTCCTCCTCCTCTTCTTCTTTTTCCCGCCATTAAGGACTTCTCCAGAGAGCTGCTAGGCCTTCACATCATGTGTCCAAAACAGGATACTTGGAGCCTGGTCATTTGTGCCTCGAGTGAGAACTCTGAGTTGATTCGTTTGATAATCCATCGGTTCGTTTTCTTGGCTGTCCATGCTCTTCTCCATCACCAAAGTTCAAAAGTGTCCACGCTCCTATCCTTGCAAGGTCTACTGGGATTTTTTAAAAAAAATCTAGAATTCCAAGAACCTCCAGCCACAAAGAGTGCCCTCCCTCAACTACTCTGCCCTTCTCTCATTTCAGCAGAATAATTAAAAGCGGGAGGAGCACGAGGACTTTGGTTGCTCCTGATGGGGGTGAATTCCCAAGAACTGATCCCTTCTAAAGTGACAGCCAGATGCACCGAAGTAGTGTCCCAATAGCCTAAAAATGATGGTGAGAATTATTTGATGGGGGTGATCTCATCCCCCCCCCCACGTGGGAGCACTCTGCCCGGAAGTGCAGCTGCTCTTCCTTGGGGCCCGGGGGTTGGTTAAGCGATGCTCCTGGCTTTGAGCAGAGAAGAATTTCCCACCAGCAGCATCACTTTATCTTCACAAATGATCCTGTTGTGATTTTTTAAATACGTTTTGCAATGATGCGGTATGTTTCTAGAGAAGTATTCTCAATGAGGTGGTATATTCCCAGAGTAAATATTCCCAGAGTGACTAGCAATTGCAAAACAGCGATGGCATTAAGAAAAATTAGAAGGCAGAAAAGAAGAGAAGCCGCTGTCGAAACCAGATAACCCCACTGGCCAACAAATGGATGGCTGGCTGGTGGGGAACGTGTTTTTCTTAGCAGTCGATTGTCCAAATGTCTGAAGGTCCTGTGACTTCAGGATGCCAAATAGCGGAACAGGACAATTTACAAAAACCGCCGTGCCTTTGGGATGTTTTCATAAATATAGAGATTGGCGGCTTCTGCTGGAAGCGTCTTTAGACAGAAGGCAGGGATCAAATTGGGATTGTTGCTTTTTAAGTATGCGTACAAGCAGCTTTTTTTTTTACAGTGTGATTTTCTTTACTCCAAAGGGACTTAATCCCTGCCAACGTTCAGGCTAAGTAAAGAGCAATTCCACCCGTCCCAGCGGCCTGGTTTACACCAAAGTGCAGCTTTTGTGGAAGCGTGAATAAGGAAACGCCACGGATGATTTGCATTAGCCGGAAGTGGAAGCTGCAGGATTTATGAGCCCTTGGCAGCTGAATTTCCCAAGTCCTTGTGCAAAGCATTGTCTTAAATGCGTGCTTTGTAGATTTTAAACCACATGGAAGGCAAAGGAGACGGAAACCGAGGTGTAATTTGTCTGGGATCTCTTAGGGCAACTTCTTTCCGAGGCTGGTGTTACCTCTGAGTGTCTTTCCAATGGCTCGCATCTGATCCTTCCTTAAAAAAAGTATTGGCGCCCAAAATCATCTTGTGTAGGCTCTTTATAATGTGCATTCTTCTTTATTGAAAAGTATTTCCATACTGCTTTTTGCTGTAAAGAAATCTCGGATTGGTTTGCAATGCATTTCTTGTGCAGAAACACAAGATGTAGTTCCAAGTAATAGTAATAGTTAAAAACAGTCCCTGCCATAAAAATCATTCCAGAATCCAAATGAAAACAACGTTAAAAATAAGATCACGAAACTCTGGTCAAGCAGACCAAATACTGGCTCGGTGGGTGAAAATTCTGCCTGGGGAATTTATTCCACCTCATTGCACTCTCAACCCCGGTGTTGATCTGTCTTGGAAACGCAGTGACAGTCCCCCCTGGGTTTTTCTCACACTGCCTGCATTTCCCCTTTCTAGGAAGACCCAGAAGATGGTTATGAGAAGTGGCGCGTGGAGAATTCGTGGGGCGAAGACCGTGGGAATAAAGGTACAGCGTCGCTCACACAGGTGCAGGAAGGTGGAGCGAAGAGGGAGGGGTGGCCTTGAGGGTTGAGCCAAGGGCAGGGATGTCTGGGCTCTGACTGGCATGCCACGGCTGCCCTCTTGATTCACCAAAGCTCCACTTTTGAAGTAGTGCTGAAATTGGGGGGGGGGACAAATTGGGGAAGGGCAAAAAGGCAGGCGAGGAAAAGGTGACCCTTAGAACCACCAGCTTTTTTGGCAGTTTGGTGAGCGCTGGGCCCTGTTGCCAAGGCATCTGAGCAGCGACGTTTGCAGGTTTTTACAAGGGGCTTTCTTAGAGCGAGAGGAAGAGAAACGCTTTGGGCTCCGTCGTGTGCTGCTCGGTCTGCGTCTCGCTCCGGACTCCCCAGCGCAAGAAGGATTTGGAGAATCTGGAACAGGTTCAGGGAAGGGCAGTGAGGCTGAACAGGGAACTGGAAAATAAATCCTGCGAGGAGAGATTGAAGGAACGGGCAGGGTTACTAAAGAAGAGAAGGCAGGGTGGGGGTGCCAGGTTTACAACCCCCTTCGGATGCCTGAGAAGGGCTCATAAAGAAGGAAGCCTTTTGTTCCAGCCTGCAGAAGCCAGAGTAGTGGTTTTCGGTTGCGAGAGGAAGATTCTGGCACAACATTGGGAAAACCTGTTAAGAGTTCAGAGCAGTTCGGAGTTCAGTTCTGATTCCACAACTCGAAGCCGGGTGCCTCAGGTTTGACACGGGTCAAAGGCAGACTCCGATAGAAGGTTAGAGGAAAACTTCCTGAGAGCAAGAACAGCCGGGCTGTGAAACCGGCGGCTGCCCTCGGTGGGATCTGTTCCGGCAGATTCCTGCCCTGAGCAGGGGGTGGTCTAGATGCCTCAAGGGTCCTTCCCAAGACTATGACTCTGCAGTTGGGAGCCTCTTCTCCCCCCACAAATTGTAGCCCCCCCAAAGAGGATGCCCCACAATTCACCAGCTGTCAAGCCACAGCTAAAAGAAATTATTTGTGTTCTGCCTGAGTTGAGCAGGGTAGATCTTATCAACACGAAGATTTATTTTCCGGATTTACAGGCCTCCCACCCCACCCCGAATACCTCCGCAGGCCTTTGGGCTGGAGGAGGGAGGCGCTGATCTTCTCTCCAGGCACACTTTCAGGGGCCTGTCACTCCCACCATGCCCTTCTTGCCGTAAGAGGGGAGCCATATTAGTCTATGGTAGCCCCACATCAGGAGGCGTTTGCTGGCGTCTTTCCTTACTAACAAAAGCTTGTACCTTTTAATAAAAAGTATAGATGGGAGAAGTGCTCCCAGGCTCTTTAATTTTTGGTCATACCTCCCGGCGTGGGGATTGATTGGGGTGGCTTCCATAAGCGGGGCCTTTTGGCGGTTCGGAGTTGCCCCAACCAGCTTGGTTACTTTACTAATAAGCCATGACTGCATTTAGCACGCCTTCCTCTCCTCGCCCTGTGCGTGGATCCTTGGTGAGAAAAGGACAGGGTTCTTTTTCATTTAAATTCTGGAGGCCGCCCGTCTTTCGTGGATCTGAGGGGCCCTTGGAAGTTGGCCGTGAGAGCGCTCACTCCCTCCCTCCCAAGGGTTAACCGGTTTTCCAGGTGGATTTGTATTTGACGATTAGCTTAAGAAAATCCATTTGGGGGGGGATTTCCTGATAATTGCGATCAAGTCTCAAATTCCAACTTCTCCTTCTGATGAGGAATGTTCATCCCCATCTTGCGGGGCAGGGGACGGAGTTTGGCCCTCCTTGCCCCAGGGCCATCGGCCTCCTCGGAAAATGGCGAGAGCTGTTTCGGAAGGGCTGCACAGAAGGGCTCAGGGTGCGTGGCTGCCCCCCCTCCACTTTCTTGCAGAGCCAGTCTAGAGGTCACCATTCTTCTACTTTTAGCCTTCTGTTTATGCTTCTGATTTACGAGACTGGTAAAATCCCATCACTTCTGCCGTAACACATCCCCACGCAATCCGCCTCTCCTGACCCCCCCCGCCCCCCCTTAACTGCAAGAAGGCCAATGCAAACCACTTCAGGCTTTCAGGGTTTAAAAGCAACAAAGCCGATTATAGGCATTCCTCTGGGTTCGCCTCCTCCAGCCTGTTGCAGGTCCTTGAAGCTTTCAGCGTCCTGTTTTGCAAGGACCCTCCGGCCCTGCAGAAGAACTCTGCAGAGTAGCCCCTTTTGCAAGTAACGCATTTTTTAAAATGCGCTGCTTTTTATTAAAAGGTATCGGCTTCCACGAGTTCACCAGATGCAGCGCAATCCCATCCCCGCCCCTGCAACTTCTCGGACAGGTCTCTAGCCCCCCAGCAGCATTACGAGTCTTGGTCTTTGGATGGGGCTGGGTGGGTCCTGCACATGCACCCCCCCCGCCTTGGGGAGGGTCGGGAACATTCAGTTTGGAAGCGAGGCCTGGCTGGGCGTGGTGGGATTCAAAGACCAACGTCAGTTCTCCAAGAGGGTTGATAAAGACTTGCCTAAAACAACAAAGGCCAGCTGAGGTGGCGGGCGAGAAGTTACAGAGGAAATGCAGAGCCCTTTCCATGGGGTCTCGCCCCACCTTTCCTGCCAGACTCCCTCGCCGAGCACCGCTTCTCAGGGTCTACCTCTGGGTGCCGTGACCTCTCCCCATTCGGGTGTTCTTCCCCGCCCCAAAGGGTATTGTTCACATTACAGAGGGACTTCCTCCAATATTCAGGAATTTCCTCAGCCCCGAGGTTATCAAGCTGATGTTTCTTGGTTCTGTTTCCAAAAACACGCCGTACCGCCTCGTGAAATCTCCCCGTTCCCTGTACATTTTGTTTTGTTTTTCAAGGGAGAGAAAGTGGACAGGCCGGGCTTTTGACCCTAGGACCGAATTCTTAGTTTTCCCACGCAAATCTTCATGCCCCCGGCACGCCTGGAATCACACTCCTCCCTGGCCCGGCCAGTCCGATCACAGCACGGGCTCGAAAACCCTAAAGTCGGTTGTCCTGCCTCTTGATGCTGAACAGTTTGTTTTTGAGCCCCGCGGCTGTGGGGTCAGCAGGAAAAGACCGTTCTGTGGGATCTGCTTGTTCTTACGAGTCAATCAGTTTGGTTAATTAAAAAAAAAAACACTTTTAGTTAGTTTCAGGAGAATGCCAGTTAATCAAGGAGCAGGTTTTTCTTTAAAGCAGTGTTTCTCAACTTTTCAACTTTAAGAT